GTATTCCTGTTTCGGCTCACGGTTTCTCTCCAGGACTACCCCACTCGCTCGTCCCCGTCGAACCGCCGGTTTATATACCGTCGCGCATCCCTACCCCTATCCCTACACATCGCCGGGGGTCCCTAAATTTTCTCGAAGTCTATAAGGGTTAAGGAATTAACTGCGGCTGCTGGCCGAACCGACCGTTCGGGCCTACGAGCTTCTGATACGCCGGGGTGGCTGCCTTCGGGGCTTAATAACCGGGGTGAGGATCCTACGGACGGGCGAGGGGTGGCTGGTAGAAGGATCTTCGCCAAAAGGCCATTACAAGGATTTCTTTTATTTACGGTCGCGAAAGGAGCTCCTCCGTCGAGCGGGCTAAGTGGTATGATCTCCTCTCCTTAGGCTGTATACTCCTGCGATAGATCTTGGCCAATGACCGACTAAGCGTCCACTCTCCGAGGCTTAATACTTTCCTCCCTCTCTACCCTATTTCCCCTCCCTCCTCCCCACCCCCTCGTAAAGTCGTGTAACATTTAGCTGTAGATCAATTAAGACGTCGTCGCGCTGCTGAGTCCGTCCGGAATCACAGTGCACCACGATTTCCGGCTCTTAATGATACGTACTTTGCTTTTGTGGAATTTTCTAAGATATGATTCAATATATTAATTTCATTATTATGTGCTATCTCCATCAAGTTTTCTATAATATAAGAAGATAATCTTACTTTTTATTTGAATCCTGTTATGGAGAAGCTAAAATTTTTTTAGGCTTTTTTTCGTAAAATGTATTTTTCAGATTTTTCAGAAAATAAGCGTAAATTTTTAATGAAAATATAATTCTACAGTTTACACAAAAAATATTATTACTTTACATAAACTGCAATTTAGTTAAATTCTAATAAAATCAATATAATTTTTTGAACATTTACAACTTAATTAATTGGATCACAATAATTACCTTCGGCCGAATATTATACACAATGTGTTTTATTTCTCATAAAGGAAAAGAAAGTTCGCGTTTCTCGTTCGGTAAAATATTATTCTTCCTTCACACGTGATCGCGACGCCAGGGTCGGCGCCGATAAATTAACGGGATTAATTATCTCCGACCATCGGATTACTTGCAATGGAGAATACGGCCTACTCCCTGGGTGATTTTCCCTCCACGGCTCATTACTTTCAATCGCTGGCCTTCAGCCGGTCGTCCTCTTCTTCGCTACTCGTAATTTTTAGTATAGCCGCGCGCGCAAGCGTGGGGGAGGGTGGGATTAAAGAATAAGAAGGGGAAACCGGAGTTCGTTTATATGACCTCATCAGCTACCCTCGGGAAAGAAAAGAGTAAGTGAGAGAGACAGAGAAAGAGAGAAAGGAATATAGTAAGAGGAAAAGAAAGGGAGAGAAATGAGAGCAGGACAAGATGATGGAAGCCGCGTCGCCAACCGTAGCATCCCTCAAGGATTATGAGGCCAATCCTGCGGCTAATTTGCGAGCTCTCGAATTCTCAAGCCCCACCGCTATTTCTTGACTTTATCCAAACCAAACTGCTCTCTGCTCCTGGTTTCCCTTCTAGCCATTTTACCGTTGTTTCTTTCATCTAAATCTCGAAAAAAAGTTGTTATCATAATCTTTAGTGACGATTCTTTTAGTGACAATTCACTTGCTCTCTTTCTCTCTCTCTCTCTTTTTCTCATTCTTTATTTTTCTCTTATAAATTTCTTATTATTAATAGACATAGATTATTCTCAGGAAATTGTAGAATTTATATTTGTATTTATATTTATAATATTTTCAAAAATTTTATAACTACTATAAATCTTCTCTTATTTATGCATTATATTAACATATTTTAACGTGTTAAGTTTCATTTTTATGATTCACGATTCAAATTAGATGTGTCTAGTCGAGATATGCATAAGGAATAAATTACTACGTCTCATTGGTATTTAAAGCACGTGTTTTAGCAATTTTATTTTTGCGGGAAAAGTTATGCTTCAAAATACCGCGCTTACATTTCTCCGACATATGAATGAATAATTAATGGGAACGATGGCTCTTATACGCGGCTAGCTCGCTACGCACATTCGTTACAATCCGATTCAGCGGCGGAGGGCGCATTTTCGGTTCTTATCAATATATAATCGCATCCAACAATCAAACCATCCTGGCCAACATTATCTATGGCGAAACGTCCGGCAGCCGTATGGAAACAGAATAGTTAGGCATATCCTAGCTGCGGCTGATAGCAGAACCGCGCAGCTTCCTCTCTCCTTTCATCTCTCTCCATCTTCCTCTCTTTCTCTCTATCTCTCTTTCTCTTCCACAAGCTCTCCTCCGTTATTATTCAGGAACTTTGCTGACAGCTCCCCGGATAGGTAGATAAGAACGTCCTCTGAATGCCAAAGCACACACAATGCTCCTTTGGAGCGACGTGTACCCACGTCTCGCGGATACTTTTCGTGCGCCACGATCGTACAGGAATGTCTAGCGCGTGTTGCATCGGTGATCCTAAATTCTCTTCGATCGTTTGCAATTTGTCGGGTCCCACTAGCTCACTCGACGTCGCGCAGCTTGCATCCTGGATTTATTCCCCTATCTGTCATTTATTAAATTGTGACGTTGCGTGTGTATTTCTTCGATATATCGCATATCTCAATTAAAGGATTGCGGAAAAGCTCCTCCTAAAATTATTTTTATAATTAATTTAGTGATATTAAATTTTAATTAATTTTTATATCAATTAATGTCCATTAGTGAAGTAAATATGTATTGCATTATAACATTTTATTGAGAATTAACACGTTAGCGCAGCATTGAACACGATATTTCGTAAAAGAAATTTTATTATACGTGTCAATGACAACAGGAAGCCAATCTCAGCCAAACCGGCCATTTTTCATAACGATTTAATGCGGATGGTGCGGTTTAAATTGTCTGCGCGCGTCTTGACAAATTAAGATCAGATAGAGAGATGATCCTCCGGGCTGCTGACTTTCAGATTTTCATAAGACGCTCCTTTCCCTTACCACTGCTCTATCTCTCTGTTCCTTCTTGATTCTTCACACTCTTCGGCCCAGCAGCAATTTTCTTATCCGATCGACCAATCTTTCTTTTTCATTTTCTCCGAAATGAGGAAGCTCGATAGTCGTACCAAGAAACGAAATTTCAAGGAACGATAACGATAATGAATCGACGCTTAACTGTGCAGTTTTATATATCAAACTCGATGATTGGTAAAATAGTTGGAGTTTAAGATAATTGAAAAGAATACTATAAATATTTCGTAAAAATATTGCATATATAAAAGAAAACTCCAGACGTGTTGAAAAATAAAATTTTAAAAAATTTTAATTAAGGATGATTTCATTAATATTTTGGAAAAGTACGTATTTTTTTTAGAAAAATTGTTCTTTATAATATGCTTTGCGTAATGCATCGAAACTACATAATGCGTTGTGTCCAAGCCGTTGTGACTAATCTATTTTCGTTATTTTTAATAGATTGCTAATGATGTAATATATCTAAATTCGCTCACCTTTGCTTATAAATTGCGTTTTGCCCGATGACGTAGCGGAATCTGCGCGCACGGATTTCGATAGTATTCGAAACAAGTTCCATAAATCCTCGTCTGCCTCTCCCGCGTCTCGCTCAGGGAAGGCGGAGTTCGATAACGATAACGAGAGAGGGATAACGGTAGGAGGAAGGCACCTGTATAGCGCGGGGATAAGAAGAGACTGCGCTGCTGTGGCAAAGTCTAGATTCGATGTTTTGCGAATGAGCGCCGACCCGGATAGATCCTTGTAAGACGTTTTAATTGGACAAATCCGCCTATCCTCATTAAATCCGGGACGACCCCGCGAGCGCGGCGGGCCCACCAGGATAGGCAGGTCCTGGTGTGCGTGTCGTAGATGACGATATCCCCCTCTTGGCATCATCTTTGCACATTGCTACGTGTATTATATTTAAAGGCCAAGAGTCTTCTATCTTACAACGTAGCCGAGTAACTCGTCTCGAAATAAGGATCCGATCCCGCCTTAATCGTCTTGCTCTTTGTAAATCTACCACTACAGTGGAAGGACGTCCTTAAATCCTGTAGCTCATTGAAATATGCAATCAATATGAAGAAAAACTCTACGATACACAGAATATATGTGCTGTCTGTTTAATTTGACACAAGATAAATCATCGATAAAAATATATGTAAAAGAAAATATTGGATATTTTTCTGAAAGAGAGAGAGATAGATATTTTTTATATTACATATACAATTACACTTCCGTTTTATTTGCTTTTAAATTTCTTCGTCGTACCTTGTCACCGGCGTATCGTTCTGTAATTCTCACGACTGATGCGAACGCGAATAGATAGATAGTATAGCTTTTAGAGAAAGACTCATTGACTATTGTGACGTTTGAGTTAGGGTTGACTCGATGACAGCTCGGCTGTCTTATCTTAGCTGTGAGATTTCGGTCGGGGCGGTTGCTTTGTGTATTCGTAGACTTGGAGACAGTATCGTTGTGCGCGCTTGTATGCACGCTACATCGTTCGTTTATACATACGCGTATCGCGAGCTCTTTACGAGAGAACTCATGAAACTCGCCATACGACGATTTATTGTACTCGTCCCTTGCAAGACAGACGAACGAATGGATACGGTATCATATCGCTCTTATAGCTCTTACAGCTATTTCGATCCGATCTTCTTGTGAGACAACCACAAGAAAACTGCGAAACTGATGGCAAATCTCCCAAAAGGAAATTCGTTGCATATAATGTTTCACTGAAAATTTTTGATTGATGAAATAATAAAATAAAATAATCTTGCTCATATAATATTTAGATATTCTAATACGCGATGATCAATATTTATTCCCATTCAAAAAATACTGCATATATTGGAAAGTAAAATTGATATATAAATTAACCATAAATACTATCATCTAGAAATTACCATCTCAATATATGTTTTGCCAATTTGGCACAAAAGGGAGAGATATTCAATTATATATATTTTCCGTTGACGTATATTTTTTATTCGACATCATCTCGTATTTACATTCATGAAAGTTCATAATAATTATATTAATTGTTACGTGATAATTACAATGAATGAGCTGCGGCCGGTAAGCGTTAAGGACGCAGCGTATCAACGATAGTAAGGAGTAACAGGTCGATTAACGATTTCCCTTTATTTCGGCGCGTCCGTTGTTTGTTTTACGCGCGCGCTTTTGTCCCTCTAATTATTTTAAGGAAATTAATTAATCTGCGTGATATGGATGCTGTTGCGGCGACTCGCCCTCGAACAGAGCCATCTTCAGCCGCTTGTTCTTGGCCCTGCGGTTCTTGAACCAGAATTGCACGTTCTTCGGCTCCAGACGCGGAAACTTCTGGCGATACGGCATCTTGTTCAACTCCTCCGTGTACGACAGAATGAGCTATGGACCGATCGTAAAATCTTTCTCAGCACACCTCTCGAAGAGAGCTAAAGCCAATTTTCTGAGCCGATACATCAGCATTTAAATGATAAAACGAAATTATTTAAGAAAATTTAAAGTAACGCGCGTGATATACTTGTATTAATGTCGTCTAATTATACGTTGTTTAATAATTTAAAGAACGATTTTTGAAAGAGAATTACGATGTACGTAAAACAAAACTCTCATTTTTGTATGTGTAATACTTCTCCCTATTTTTATAGAATTAGATATTTTACACTGCAAGAGAGTAACTGTATCTACGATCGCGCTCTATTAATCTAACAGAAGTTTCTCGCTGTTAGTGCGTGTTAATATCGTTGGAAGGGACAAATTAGTGCGATAATAACACGGGGTGATTTATACATACCGCATGGCTCGGATGTGTGCTGCGCTTGAACCAATACTCGAGCCTCGGCACTTCCGTCACGGGATCGATGAACGTCCGGTTCCTCTTCCTCCTCTCGTCGGCGAGCATGCTGGTGGGACAGCCGGCTGGCCCGCGAGGCGGCAGATAATGCGACATGTACATTATACCGTGGCCGAACATGGGGCTCGGCACCAGGGAGAATCCCGGTGGGATCGGGCCTGTGTGCCTCGTCTCGTCGTCCTCGGAACCGGACGATACCCTCGCGTCCTCCTGCTTCACCGAGGAAGGGGTCGACGTCGGCGGCTGCTGCTGATCCTCAGGTCTCGTGGTCAACGATAGAGGACCGACAGGTGGGCTGCTCGGTGGACAGGGTGACCCGGACGTCGACTGTGAAAATATTAATTAGAAAATCTCAAGTCTTTGGAGTTGTCGAGACGCAGAGTTTGTTTCACTTTATATGATGATCTTAGAATGCAGAATTCAAAAGTTTCAAAAACTCTCTCTCTCTTTCTTTGTCGAGAAAAAAACCATCATTTTTTCGAAGCTTCAAGATATTCAATTTTTGAAATTAAAATGTTATTTTCAATCCTTCCTCTTGCTCCCTCTTGCAAGAAGGAGCACGTACCTGCTGCCTGGTGTCCTCCTCTTCGTCTGTGCAATCCTCACTGACAAGGCTGGCGCCTCTCGGACTGAGCCCAGGTGGACTGCAGCCGTTCATGCTGGCTCTCTTTTGCGCCGCACGGGCATTTTTGAACCAATAGACGACGTTGTTAGCGTCCAGGGGTTTCCTGCCTCGTCGCGACTCCAGAGAGTTCAGTTCCGCGACGTAGTGCTGTATCTGTTCGCGCGACGGATGCTGATTCTCGGCGAACCAGCGTTGAAGACGCGGCAGCTCAAGTTCCGAGTCGAAGCTAGTCCTCATCCTGGTCTTGTGCGAATACTGAAGCAGAGCCGGATGCGGCGGTCCAATCGAGCCGCCGCCGCCGCCGCCGCCACCAGGCGCGATCGTGCCACCGCTGTCGGGTTGTGGACTCTGCGTGTGATGATGATGATGATGATGATGATGGTTAGATGACGGCGCTATTGGATTTATACCGAGACGAGAGTCATCTGCAAGGGAAGCAATACATATTTTTCTTTTTTTTTTTTGGAAATCTTGCTTTCCCCTGCATTGAGTGGTCGATTAATGTCTGGCCGTCTGTTTAATTGCGCCAATAATGCATCTCGCGAAAAATATAAAATTGACGGATGATGTGCTTTTGCCTAAATCCCATTTTGTTTTTTTATTGTAGCGCTTTTCTATATTTTATAGAAAATATTTAAAAACAATTTTTATATTACAGGATAATTGAGACTATCAAAAAAATTGTCAAGCGCAATGATTTAGGCACTTTTTTCATCTTTTGTATTATGTTTTATATTGTCTTTAAAGGCCTTTTTAGACGATCTATAATTCGCGACAAAATTTTATTTATAATTATATGCGTCACATGTTTTAATGTATATATACGTGTATCTTGATATATATTTTGATTTATATGTATTTTACGTGTTCAAATGTTTTCTGCGTTACACGACACATAAACTTTATAAATAGAATTCTGTCGTGTGAATTTTTGTCGTGAATTACAGATCGTCTAAAGAGGCCTTAAGATAACAAGAGAATGAGAGGAAAAAAGCAAGTACTATAAATCGAAACAAAATTCCCGCAGCAACAGATTTATTATATGAATTCAAATTCGTTCTCTTGACGATCGATTTATCCGGTTGGTTGTTGACGCGAACAGCCGCCGCCGTCGTCGTTAGCGTCACTTTCGTCGCCGTCGTCGTCACGGCATTAAGATGACAGATTATGGAAAAGTTTCGCGTCTCAGGAAGCAGTGCGCGCGCCTTATCTGGCCAATGATTTATAAGAACAAATATATCTCCGTACTGGGGAGGATCAGGCGCACGACGCCACCTTAATAACGCGGTAATCCGTCGTGTATCCATAGCACCTTGGCAGTGTCAGATACCATCAAGACAAGACAATTATCCGTCCGCTACAGCGGCGTCTCATCCGCGCGCGCGAGAGAGAGAGTCACCTCCTCGAATTCTCATCCGCCCTCAGTTTTACGACACCGCACTTAATCACTCCAGGTAGGCAGGTCTAAGGCGCGAGTCTGACAGGCGTTCGCGAGATTTCAGAAATCGTTCGGCAAACAATGGTACGCACCGTCGACCGGCTTATCTGACGACGTTGCGCCGCGCGATATTCGAGCCTGATTTACACTGTATTTATTATTCAAGAGTCATTGCGCACGCATACAAGGCAATCGGCTGATCCGTGGAACAGTGGTAAATCAATCGCGATCACGGGACCGCGATCAAACAATTTGCGAGATCGTAACGAGTTGGCGAAATTGACGACGCGTACATCGGGGACCAGTGCGAGCTTTGTGAATCTTTTATGAACGTATTTCTTCCGTAGAGAAAAGACCAAAATTATAAAAATATAATCAAATAAAAATTCTTTTTTTTACCCCATTCCCATTTTTTAAATATTAATCAAACTATAATTGCCTCGACTTCTTAGAACCTTAATGAATATATATACTAATATATTTCTATCGTAATCCTTAACTGCTCGCAATCGGATAAATTATTAAAGTAAATTCTTTTTGATCGTTTTTATATTCTACGATAAAGACATATATATTTATGTAAAAACGAAAACCAGATTTTTGGGGGGGATATATATATGTAGAACAATTTTGCAAAAATATATAGTAGATAAATCATATGTGTGTGTCGCTGTGGCGCAATAAATATGGTTAAGCCCTAATCCTGATATATCAGGCGACGTCTGTTACATCACTGTTCTACATTTCAAGCTAAATAGGATCCAAAATAGATTTCGCTGCTTTTTATTGTCTGAAACTGTGTTGACACCGATGATTTATGTTCGCCGATTCTAATTAATGCGAATTTCACGTCCCCGCGGGCCCCTTGAAAAATATTTATTACCATTTCGAAACTTTCCATTATCCCGAAAGAAATACGAGCGTGATTTTCACAAAATCGTGTGTACTTTAATACTACTCGCTTATATCTTTCTCTTGCATATTTAAATTTCTAATCGCTCTCCAATGAAAAATATTTTGATGTATTCAAATGTACCGAACGTCACAAATCGTGCACTTTATCTGAGTCACAAACACTAGAAATAACTGGTTTTAATCTCATGACAAAGATAGTTACGTTAAGATAAGCGAATAAAATTTGCTAAACGTAAGAGATGTTAATATATTTTTGTCAATTTTTAATGTAACTTTAATATGCATTTAACTTGAAGTTTTATTTCCAATCTCAGTAAGAAAATTGATTATTAAAAAGTAAAAAAAAACCAAATGTTAAAAAAATTATGCTCTCCTTTTCAACTGCGACTAAAAAAATTTCTAGCAGTTTTGAAAAAAATATTTTACTAACAGAATTTTTGTAAATTTTCCGGTTTTCTTTTTAGTAATAAAATGTAAGAGTAAAACAGAGAGAGAGATAAAATAGATAGGAAGATTATCGAGAAGATATACTTCGGTGCTAAAGGAATATCGTGCAAAGAAGTTGCGGAGAGAAGGGGAGATCGCTCGGCGGCACGTCTTCCTGCATCATCGTCAGATTAGGCCAAATCTACGCGAAAGACGTCGGTTCTCCATCACGGCGGTTCGCCATTAGCCGTCGGGCTACGAAATTCAAGCAGGAAACGTTTGCCGGGGAAAATTGGTAATCATAGACCACCGCGAGCGGCATTAAAGTTCGGGGATGGGCGGGTAGCGGGATCTTCAAAGAGAGTGCACTTAGATAATGCCGGCCTGGAGGAGGCGGCGGGGTACCTACCCTCCTCTCCCCCGGTGCCGATATCGAGGGAAGCTTTTGATGAAGGCTGCGAATTTGGTTGAGTAAAGGGTAATCCTATCACACGCTATGAGATCTTCCATTGTCGGAAGGGCACGGGAAGCGCGCGCGCGCGCGCGCGCTGGCCGTACCGAAAAATCGCGCACCTATTTCAATTTTCGTTGAACGGAAAATCGAGAGGATCACGGCCCGGGATAAACCCCTCGAAAAGTCATCGCGAAAAAAAAAGAATTTCGCGTTAGCTGGTATAGCCGAGATTACGTTATTCGGTTCCATCGCTGGGGACTGGGGATTGGCGAGAGCTACTGGTTTGCGCAACGTTAAACTTTCGTTGAATCGGCTTTTGCGTCGAATCGTCGAAAAATGTTGACATTGTGATAAAATCTCTTTCTATGGTCAAATGAGATAATCGTTGTTTCTCTTATTAATTTCTTAAATTGTTTAAGATATATAGTTTCAGGGCAATGTCCTTATTATTCTTATAAATGTGAGATAATAAACGTTGATAAATATATAGTAATGGCAGCGTGTTTGACTAAGAAATAAAATAATTTTTAAAAAAATTTACCGAGCTTAATTATAATTACGCAAAAAAATATATTTAAAATAATAATATTGTAGATATATTGTATAAAATTTCGCAAAAAACTATGCAAGAAGACTCAAGATCAGAAAAAGCTTCGTTATTCGCGTGAAAACGCTTCAATTCGGGATGGAAAGCTACTAGAGACGCGCGGTGACTTCTCGACTAGTGATTCGAAAGCAACGAAGAGCATTTATTCAAGGTGAGGATCAACGGGCCACGAGCAAGAATCTACCAAAGATTACCACTCGCCGCGTTCTTGCGGGAGGTACAAGAGCACCGAGCCGGAGGACTTCTTAATGAGATTAAGTGCCCCGACGACAAACACTCTCTGGGCTAGATTTACATTTTATACATTTTTAAGCGGTCGTCTTACTACGAATATTCCCTGCTCCGATCTCGCCTTGAATGGCCCTTAAATTCTCTCGGTGCGCGGTTATTTAACCTCGTTCTTCAAATAAACGCGCCTTTATATACAGCCGTTGTATTTCTTTTCTCTTTTTATTTTCACTGTCGTACTTTTGCTTCTAATAACATCAAAATATAGAAAAAGAGATAAAGAAGACATAATATATACAATGCTATCATTTAAAAAATTAAGAAAGATTTATGATGAAATTTAAAAAAATGATTTTTTCAGATTTAAATTTGTGTAAAAAATGTATGCTTTATTTAAACAGCTTTGCATTCTTCCAATGCATCCACTTTCTAAATATTGGTTTTTTTTTCCTAACGCAAGTATTTAAATAAATAAAATACGAGATAAAATCATGTACTATCTGTTTCTTAAATCGATACGTATTAGATCGAAAATTAAAAATTCGGGCAATCGTACCTCGTCCAAGGGGCATCCAGCGGAGACGAGAAGCGTATGGCTGTGCAACAGTAGCAACCTCAGCAATTTATTTCGAACTTCAGCAGCCGGGCTGGGAGGTGGCGGTCTCGATCTGTACACCTGAATCTTCAGGGTCGCCACCGATGTCAATTCAGCTAGGATGTCTCCTACCGTCAATAACGGTCCATCGGCGACTTTTTCCATCGATAAGGGTTTCCAGTTCCGTATAACGATGCTGCCTCTGGCGCTCGGTATCAAATCGCTAGAATACCCTAAACGAACGAGAGCCTCGCCCACCAAATCCTATCGGCAAAAGATCAAATGCTTTTAGTAACCGAATTATATTTTATATCTTTTTAATAATTTAAATCTGTACGAAATATCTCTATTTTTCAGAAAGATATAATTTATTGTTAAATAATTCAACATTTTATTATTATTATTTAATCATCGCAAGTTTTTTATTTTTATCGTGAAGATTTTTAATTTCTTAAAATAAAATCAAAATAAATGTCTCAATTTTAATTACAACGATGATTACATTATTTATATTAATATAATGATATGTAGTACTGATATAAATAAGAGAAAATAATATTCTTACCTGAAAAGGCATAGCTACCGGAATGATAACGTAAGAGTCTGTTTCCACTTGAGGACTTCGCCATTTTTCGCGACTGTTGCTCACATGACTTTCCACGATATTGTGAATCGTCTCCACCACACAATGCACCGGCAGATTTTTCGCTGCAACAGACAATGAAGTTTACGTGAAGCAACAAATCCTCTTATTGTGAGAAACAATAGAATGATAAATTTACTATGAGTATAAAACAAATTAGCTAATAATTGCATCATTTTACGAATATGACTTAATCATATGTGTAATACCAATTTTTAATTAAACAATTCTTTAAACAATATTATATATACCTTCGAAATTTTTATTAAATACAAGATGTACAGCTTTCCACATTATACGTATTTCTAATCGCATATAAAGTTATTTAAAAAAATTTAAATAACAAATATATAATACAATTAATATATTATAGAAATATAAATGTTTCCTATATTTTCTATAACGACTGCTTAACTTCTCTCTTTAGATAAAGTTAAAAGAATTTAAGGATCTCTATAGAATATTATTATACGTGCCCTGTTAGCGGATCTAATTAATTCGATTCGGAAACTGAGAACCGAAGATATCTTCACGAAGGCTCAGTCTGTGAATGCCTTAAATCGTCTGGTAGCTTCGACTGAAGCACTATTTCTGTACATCCGGCTGACAATAGGTATAGAGTCTTTGGCATTCCGGCATCCAAATTTGAGGAGCAGGATGATTCGCGGAGCGCGTACTGAAGATTGCTGAGAGAGGAGGAGGAGCGAGAGAGAAAGACGCAGTGCGAGCAAAGGAGAGAGAGAGAGAGAGAGAGAGAAAGACGCAGTGCGAGCAAAGGAGAGAGAGAGAGAGAGAGAGAGAAAGACGCAGTGCGAGCAAAGGAGAGAGAGAGAGAGAGAGAGAGAGAGAAGAGTTTAACTCTGGTGCTAAGCATATGCAGATCCACTCGTCTATCCCGAGACAATGGGACCTGCGCGATGGCACAATAGCTGCGATCCTTGTGTAACCCCGACTTAAGTCCGGGAGTCTATCCCACTCCAGATCATAATCCCAGAGTTCTGCGAAACCGAGGAAATGGAGTGCAAGAATGAGAGAGAAAGAGAGAGAGAGAGAGAGAGAGAGAGGGAGAGAGAAAGGGATGATAAAAGAAAGAAGGAAAAGGAGAAGGAGAGAAGGGAAAAGTTTCACTCATACAATTCTTTACTAGCTATATACTTATTCGTTGTATATCGTTGTATATCGTTAAGAAGCACCGTCAAATTCTCGATAAACATTCTATTTATCGAAATGCTTGTCTTTCATCCTTCGGGATACACGTGTATATCTATGCCAAAAAACATTACATTTAAATAATGAAAAAAAGTTAAATGATTCATCAGTGAAAAGTAAAATTTAACAGTTACTGTTACAGCATCTTTTTACATGGAACTTCAACGATGTATAAATTTAAAATCTCTTTAGTCAGATAATTTCAGACGAGCTTAATAATAGTTTAATTTATTGCAAATTATTTACTATAGATCTTGCTAATCAGATAATTTCAGACAAGCTTAATAATACTTAATTTGACACTTAATATTAAATTATTAAAATGTAACAATAATCTTACATTTTTAATTTTCGCTAGAAACCAATTCAAAATTTGTTTAAAAAAATGCTATTACATATTACATGTTCAATTAAATTTCTGATTAAATAAATTAATAATGATAGCAATAGGCTCAATAGGTAAAAACAATTAAATGAAAAAACTGGCAGATGAGAGGCCAGGCATCGGTGCGCAAATTTATTATTGTTAAATTCAATTAACTAATGTGCATTTAAAAATGTAAAGAAATTAAAATTTTGATCAATTTATTTGTAAGCAAAAGTATTAATACCAAAATTGCATTTTTCACATTAAGCATAATGAGCTAATCAAAGTGCAATATTGGATTGTACCGGGATTGATACGGTCGAACGTCTCTTGATGCAAGACGCTAAGTCCCCGTCAAAGATGACCAACAAAGGATTTACTGCCGGCGCGGCATGATATTAGGTATTAATGGCCAAAACTTCCATCTAATACGCCGGACATCATAGAGCGCCCGCTCTCCCTACGTTGCATAAGACAGGTCGTATCTGGCCGGGTCCGAAGGCTGACCGGCGTCCACCTTAATCTAGGGACGTATAGTTTTCATTAAGGCGCCCCGTCCTTGCGTCGTCTTTGTACCGGGATCAGCTGGTTTAAGGTGGGCTTTTACGCCGCAGGATTTAATCGCGGGGACACATCGTATTACGCGCTCTGTTTATTACCGACGCGCCGTCGTCTCTACACGTGGGTTGACGATACACTCGCTCTCGCGTATCATGAAAATGTCCGTCTATCATTTTTATGAATCCATTTTTATAAACTGGTGTAACGCTAACTAAAAATTAATTAATTTTCTATTAAAGGACCAAAATTGATTTCTTCGAAAAAAATCTTTTAATTAAGATTTCCTATATATCAATATAATTAATTATTAATAATGGATTAATTAACATAACATTTCTATATGTCTCTTTATTGTTTAAATAATATTTCCAGATCCTGCAAACATTGCATTAAATTTAAGTTTATTATAGTAAACGAAGAAATGAAAGAGGCAACCACTCATCCGCGAAATCTTTAATCTCTGCAGCAAAGACATTTCTCATTTCTGGTGCAGGTCCTATCGGGCTTCCGGTTATCTCCCCGCACGACGGAAGCGTCATGCTGCTTCGTCTTTGACAGCTCTCGTCGAAAGATAAGATTCATCCAAAGGGCAACCCTTGAAGAAGCAAAACCGGTTTCTCTCGATGGCTCTTTTTCATTTACGACGTTTTCATCTCGCGTTTCGCGTTAGCGATTTCCCGTATTGTTAAATCATCCAACGGCAACATCCTCATTTAATTTTTATTCGATGTCACACTCTTATATAATAATATTTAGTTAAAATTTAATGTAAAAAATAAGAGTATTGAAAAATAATCCTTTAATCACATATTTTTGTTAAAGAAAAATCGCTTTTTTTACTGAGATAAAAATATAAATATAAAATTATATATATTTCATTACTTATACGATGAGTTAATTTGGTTATAACAAAAACTATATAGACAAATTATATGTATACAACGTTTTCGTTAAAATTAAAATTCAGAGCACAATTATAAAATATTAGAAAATATATTCACAAGAAATATTATTTTTTGGAAGAAAATAATCTCTAATTAAACACTTAAGCGGGTTAAAAACTCGTTTTCATCTTCCGTTTTCGGATGCATCGAGTTCTCGTAGCGTACCCATTGCGCTCTCTCAACTTCGCAAATGAACAGAACGCCCAGTTTTACACTGAGGCGGTGGTGCAGATACAAGATAAAAAGTTGGAACATATTTTTCGACACCCCGCCGTATCGCCCATTCCGCACCGTCGCGATAATAGCTGCTACGTTCGGCGCGGAAAGCGCGATTCGAAGGGGCCGCGGCCAAAATCTCCGAATATTTCTTTCCGCGTCTCTTCGACCCTCGTTTCTGCGCGCGAAATGATTACCGGCGCGCGTTCCGAGATTACCGAGGATCTTTCTAAATCACTGACGGGAAAAAGCACGCGCCATTTAGATTCATCGACAGTGACGTTTCCGTTGCTGTATCGGTGTGCTCAAATGCGATTAAGCAGAGCGGCGAAGGGAGAAGTAAAATGAATTTCATTTCTCAGTGAATCAAAATGGAGTTGAGATTTGAGATATAAGAAGAGACATCCACAATCATCAAATACTTGGCTATTTTTTAACACTCTGAGTTAAGTGAGTTAAATAAAATAAGTAAGCTAAGAAAAAATTTATATTAATGATTGTTTAAAATTATCTGGAGCTGACGATATAAAATAGCATAAAAACATTTTTAAAATCTCTAAATTGCAATCAATCAAACACGTGAATGAAAGTAAACTATGAGGGCCCTTTAGTCCTAAGGTTTCTCCTCCGTCTTAGTGACTCAGTAATCCAAGACGACTCAGTTTAATCTCTCGAAAAATCGAATCAGGCCACGAAGTCATGTTCGAGTAATATTATTTTTCTCTTATTGATTTGCGGCAGCACCAATTTGCGTGCGATTGAAAAAGTCAATTCGTATTTTTGTAGAAAATAAATTGGATCCGCCATGTGGCTTGGAGAATATTTAAGTCCAGCTGCGTACGCGGTGGTATTCGCGATTCCTGGAAGTCGGCTACTTCCGTCCTCGGAACTTAGTCTAAACGCGCGCGTACCAAAAGGGAAGTGTGGGTGGTTTCGGTATCTGAGGCTGATCCGGCGGATGTCGGTCTTTACAGATAAGCGACCGGCTCTTTCGAAGTCTTTATCTGCGACACCCGTCCACTCTCCTCCCTCCCCCCTCTCATTCCCCTTCCCTCCTGTCCCTTCTGTGCTGCTTTTATTTTCCTCTCGTTAACAAGTCAATTTGTTCACACCAGTTGGTTTTTTTTTATTATACATTAAAGTAATGTTTGCTAAGATTTATCGTGTCCATTCATTCGACGCGTTCGTCTGATGAATGTAGGAAATTGAAAAGTACCGATATTCTTGTATTCGTATCGGTTATTTGTGACCGATCGATTAAAAATATCGCGGACATCGGTAGCTTTCAACATCTTTGGTCGTTGAGTGCATACAAAAGTCGTAAGCTCGCGTGCGATTTAAGCTCTTTCGCCGTTAAGCTTACGTCCGTCGAAAACATTGGATAAAATATAATGAGATAACCGTCCAGCTTACGCAGCTTATAAGATCACCGGCCACGCGACGAAACCTTCTAAATTTAAGTGTTAGCCAATTCATAGCGACTTGATCACGCAACAAAATATCTTAATAACATGCGATGTTCTCGTATTCGAGTGAACTAACATATCGAGATAATGCGTGAGAAGTGTAAGTTTAATAGAATTTTCATTTATTTCAGCTGTAGTAGTTATAAACTAAATAAAATCCTTTTCTATCATTTTTGATATTAATTATCTAATTTCACTGACATAATAAAAAGTTGAATTTTATTTACATTGTTATGTGAAATTCAATTTGCCAAAATCTCACAATTTTTGATCTCAAAAATTACTGATGTCTCAATATTGGT